GAAAGCAGTTGATTTGGAATGGAAAGATTCGAGTAGAAAGGGAAGACGACTAAAATTTAGTAATTTAACATGTATTCATAGGTCGACCATTACACTTACCATGCGAGTATTGGGTGTAATTGTGGATACAAAGTTAAACATGAACTCGAGTTCGCCTCTTTTCGAGGATGAGGGATCGGATAACTAGCTACTAGAATAACCAACAATGTTTGGAGTATGGCGAGTAATAATAAGATCCTCATGGTAGTAGTGAATCCTTTCCGCATGTGATTGGATTTCTACATAGAGCTATTAAATAACCTTAAAGGGTGTAAGAATAATGTAGCTCTTAATGCTCGCAGGTCGCAAGATCTATTTACCAGTATGAATTACGTGTAGTTTTTATTTTCTCTAATAACTTCCCTTCTCTATATAATCAATGCTCCCCTTCTTCAGAAAAAATATACTCTAAGAAATCCTCCCTACAAAGATAGAAACACACTAAAAGCAAGACGAAGGTATTTAGTTCGTGAACAAGAATTCCGTTTCCAAAAGAGACGAAATCGGATTCGGACAAATTGATTGAAACAGATTCTGCAAAAATCTTCCGATGTTGTTAACAAGTACACAAATTCGATGTTCTTGTTATTGTTTAATCTTCAGATCACAATTCGACATGATTAATATTTTTTAATATTGTTCGCACATTGTGCAGGTTCTATGCTAGTTCGTTAAAAAGAAGAATAATGTTGAACCAACTAAGTTTTTAACCGGACATCTCAATAGGGTAGCTTATTGATTTTTCTAAAGGACATTAACATTCGATAATAAAATAGTCAATTCCAAATAATGAAATTGAGAAATTGGTACTATCTGTTTTCGAAATAGATAATTAAGTCTTGAACCTATAATGACAAATCAGAGATACAGATTTGGTTTTTTCTTTCAGCCCAAAGATAGAGATTTCTGAATTACTCATATAATCTCCACATAATTATACTTCTGTAATATTTTGTTAAACTACATTTTGTGTAACGTATGTAGAGTTTAATACAAAAAACTTAACGTGAATTGCTAATACTGCATAACCTTATATCGAAATTAATATATGTATATTTATGTATGACAGAATGCGAATAAAAATACTTATTAATATCTAGTTAAGACTACTTATAGACACCCTTAGAATAGGCAATCCTTGTATAATACGCATGTATTATTCTTGCATAAGTAGACCGCGAACTACCTTCTTTCATTTTATTTTTGTGATGACCCAAAATGTTATTTTTAAATTAAATAATCATCTCGATATTTTTAAGACCTTGAAAAGCGGTATCAATAATTCATCGACTTGCGTGCGCAGTCCGTATAATTTTCAGGAAGGTTTTTATGTGAAAAAATGGATTAAATTGTGAACTAGACCTTTAAAACTCAACTGAGTTGACTTCGATCAACATTTTGAGCAAACGAACCCGGATAAAAGTTTTGACCATTCTAATAGTTCCGTATCGTGAATTGGGACTTGGTCATATGCCCGAAAGTGAATTTGGAGGTCCCCAGATAAAATTATCTCCATTTAACGGAATCTAGAAATCTAAGGCTAAAGCTTTCTTAAGTTTGATCGGAGAGTTGACTTTTTGATATCGGGGTCAGAATCCAGTTCTGAAAATTTTCGTAGCTTCGTTATGTCATTTATGACTTGTGTGCAAAATTTGAAGTCAATCGGACTTGATTTGATAGGTTTTTGCATCGAATATATAAGTTAGACGTTCTTAGTTTCATTATGCTTGAATTGGGGTGTGATTCACGGTTTTAGCATTATTTGATGCTATTTGAAGTTTTGACTAAGTCCGTATCATGTTTTAGGACTTTTTAGTGTATTTTGTTGAAGTCCCCAGGGCCTCGGGTGAATTTCGGAAGGTTAACGGGTAGAAAAAACTGTTGAAATTCTCTTTGGGAAGCTGTTGTCCTTTTTTTTTACAGCATCATGAACAGTGCCCATGAACAATGCCCGTGAATAGTACCCATAAATAGTGTCGTTGAACAGTACCCCTTGAATAGTGTAGTGAACAGTATCGCGTGAACAGTACCCGAACGCGTGAACAGTACCCGAACGCGTGAACAGTGCCCCTGACATTTTCTGTACAGATTCTTAAGTTCTGGAAATGGGACTCGTCCCATTTTTCATTTTTATCAAATTGGAGCTCGGGGAGAGGCGATTTTCGGGAGATTTTCAGAGAAACCAACGGGGTAAGTTTTCTTAACTTAATTTTGGTTAATTACCCGAATCTATTACTAGTTTTGGCATTTAATTGGTGATTTTAGTTGGGAAAATCTTGAAAACCCTCTTGGTTTAATTTGAAGATTTGAGGGTCGAGTTGATGTCGGATTTTAGTAAAATTGGTATGGTTGGACTCGTGGTTGGATGAGGTTTCATATTGCGTAATTTTTGTCGGGTTCCGAGATGTGGGCCCCATNCGAAGGGTGATGCCGTGTATGATTTTGTGAGGAAGAGTGTAAAGCACGAAGGGTGATGTTGTGCGCACAATGTACAATTCTGTGCTGATTATATTGATTTTATGGTGAGGGAAAGTGTAAAGCACGAAGGGTGATACCGTGCAGTTTATATTGATTCTTATGGTGAGGACGAGAGTAAAAGCATGAAGGGTGATGTCGTGCACTTGTCCTTGATTTTTCCTGATCTAACTAAGTTATGTTGTCCTGTACGTTTATTTACTGATTTTCCATTATTACTTGATTTTATTTCGATGTTATAGATTCCCTTACCCTATTTGCCTTGTGTTTGTTCCTTGGGTGAGGAAGAGTGTAAAGCACGAAGAGTGATGCCGTGTATTGTTTTGGTGAGAGAGTGTTAAAGCATGAAGGGTGATGTCGTGCACTCTCTGTTTGTTGTGTTTACTTGTTATTAATAATTCAAGTGTATTAACTGTTTAGACCCATTTACTATTGTGATCTTTTGTGTTGGAAATCCATAGTGTTTACAATACCTCGCCTTATTTTTTTAATATGTCCAATACTTCAAATTTCAAGAATTGTTACATTTTTAACTCAATTGATTTCTCAACTAAAGTTTCCTTAAACCGTTTGAGGTTTACTTTACTTAAAAAGGAATTTCTACTATGTTTTGATTTATTAATTTCTCGTATTAAAGGTAATGATTCCTTCGATATTGTACTTTAATTGAAAATGGTATTTTCTTTATCAAATGATTTCTAAAAATAACTTCATCTTTTCTTGTTGATTTCCTAATTGGGTTGGAAGTTGCACTCTACTTTATGCTAAGTGAAGGGGGCTCCTTGAACATTCTTAATTGTATTGGGTTATGGAACCTATGAGCTGAGTAACATGAGAATATTATTGTGCAATGTGAGACAGAAATATGTGGGCACAAGGTGCCGGAAAAAATATTATGGTTTTATTTAATGGCATATGAGTTGTCCGTGCGGTTGTGACATAAATATGGGCACGAGGTGCCGTGAAAATATAAAAATAGGTTGAGACCTATATTATTTATGATTAGGAAATGAGGTGTCACAAGGTGACCTTTACTCGAAAGAATTATATTCGAAAGATGCTTATCTGAAAGATATTTATTTGAAGGAAATATATTCGAAATATATTTATTGAAAAACATATTATCTTAGAGATTATTACTTGAAGGATTTATAGGCGAAAGATTTATATTTGAAGAACTTGATTAATTGATTGCACTTGTATTTATTATTTGTTGAGAAACATTTATGATGTTCTTGTTGCCTGCTATTTATATCACTGGTTGATCATTGTTGTCATCATTGTTATCTTCTTCCTATTATTTTTGTACGCTATATTGCACATATTTATTTGGTAGTCTTGTCCTAGCTTCGTCAGTACTTCGCCGAGGTTAGGCTAGGCACTTACCAGCACATGGGGTCGGTTATGCTGATACTACACTCTACACTCTTTTGTGTAGATCCCAGTGCGGTAGACTCCAGACCGCAGTGAGATTGTTGTTTCTTGTTCATCAGGTGATCCGAGGTAGTCCTGCAGGCGTCCGCAGGCCTTGACGTTTCCTTCTATCTACTATTCCTGTTTCTTTCATGTAGTTCCAGAGACACTGTTGTATTTATTTCTTTCAGACCTTTATTTGTAGTACTCCTAGACAGTCTGTGAAGTTGTGACACCAATCTTTGGTAGATTTGTTATGGATTGGTATTAGCAGTATTATTAAATCTTTACAATGCAGTCTTTCGCTTATTCAATTCTGTTGTTATCTAATTGTTGGCTCTTAACCGTTAGCGGATTAAAAATGGAAATAAGGTAGATAGTTTAGTTGGTTTGCTTGCCTAGCTTTCACTAGTAGGCGTCATCACGACTCCCGAAGGTGGGAAATTCGGGTCGTGATAATTTTATCTTAGGATTATTATTCTTATCCTATGTACCAAACGATCCCTAAGGGGTTATTTGGTATGTGCGATAAGGGTAAATAATTCCCGGATTAGATGCCATTATTTTATTTTGTGTTAGGTAGAATTTTTGAATTAGAGACTAGTAATCCCAGGATTAGTTAATCCCATAGTGTGATATTATCCTATCCCACATTAAGGATGAAATAATAATTTCGGGATTAGTTAATTCCAGGATAAATACTAAAATGACAGTGATGCCCTTCTCCAAGACTCTTCCCTAAAGATGTGTTAGACAATCCAAGGTTAAAACTAAAAATAAAAGTTTATCTCAACTTATTTAGTATACACCAAACACATGTTCATTTTATACCTAGTATATTCCCTTTTTAGGCCAATGAACCAAATATTTACCAATAAAAATATATTTATTAAAAAATTCCTTCATTATTTAATCCTTGTATTATAATTTCATTATTGTAATTCCGAGATAACTCTGTTGCTCTACCGAACAACCCTTAATTGACTGTATAACCTAAGTTAAAATGTGGACTATATATAAGAAGGTAAACAATAGAAAATAAGAGCCAAAAAAAATATAAGCCACCATAAAATATAGCCTTATCCACGCATGGCCTTTACCATTCAAAATATGGATAAACTACAAAACATAGCGATGCCAGCAGAATAAACAATAAGAAGGAAACAAAAATATTGACTCAGTAAATATGGATGATTCAGTAACAATTTCACTACTCTCCACTGTTCAAGTTCCCAATCCAGTACTGTCAACAAAATCTGGAGAATCTCAACACAAATATAATGTTCTTTTTCGAGGAAACCAATGTTCTATTTCTTTGAAAATTGGTACAAAATGTAGTGGAATGAGGTCATCAACAAGATTGTATGCAGGGTTGACGGAGATAGAACCAGACATTAATGAGGATCCTGTTGATCGATGGAGAACTAATGGCATTGAAATTGTAATGTTTCTCTATTCCTCTTTGATTTATCTATTAATAGTTACAAGGTAGCCCAATGCACAAAGCATCATACATTCATGTATGGTCCGTGAAAGAGCTGCACCCACGTAGACAATGTACCCTAACTCAAGTATTAGTAGCTGCTTTCACAGCTCGTACCTGTGAAATGTTCATAATTGTTCTATGAATTTGCATATAGGCATGTCATAAAGAATTGGTATTTTCGATTGTTGCAGGAAGATTTTGTGTTTGGAAAGTACGATGATCATCACACCTATTTTGAGAGTGAAGATAAAGGTACATAATCCCATTTATATGACACTATTATTACTTTGAGGATCATCAAAGGATATGTTTAGGGGATGAGACTGCTCTTTCCTTAATCAGAGGTCTCGGGTTCGAGCCCTTGGTATGAAAAAATCTTTAGTAGGGAATGTTTTCTCCCGAATAGCACCCTACGCGGTGTGAGTCCGGATATAGCCGGGCTCCAATGCGAATACCAAACACCGAGTGAGAAACTAAAAAAAAGTTATTACTCTGAGGAACTAAACAATTTTTAACTACAATATTTGAATGATTAACTTTGTTGGCTTATAGTACTTTCACTTCAAAAAAAAAATGGAATTAGCTACGAATGTCATCACTAATTTGTCGCTAAAACGCTCGTAGCTAGCAAAATTTCTTGATAATCCGTTGCTAATCCATCAGTAAATGAGATTAGCGACTGATTTTTATGTTTAGCTACAGAATTTGTCTGTCGCTAAAATCTAATTTTTTTAGTAGTGTTTCCGTATAATTTGTAAATATGTAAAATTCTATTTCATAAAACTTGAAAAATTCATGTCCAACTAGCAGTTAGGGGGAGAAGCAAGATGATTATGTACGTAAGGGTTCGGCCGAATCTAGTAACTTTAGTCTAATTCTAGATTTGTATTAAAAAATCTACTCACTACTAGAATTTCAAAAAAAAGCGACCAAATTTTAGCGACCAAAGTTGGTCTGACTTTGGTCGCTAAATTGGCGAAAATAATAAAATAGTTATTTGATATACATTAGCGACCAAGGTTGGCAGCTACTTGGTCGCTAATTTTGTCAAAATATTGACCGTATTGGTCAGACTTCTTGGTCAAAGGTATACTGAGATTAGCGACCAACGTTGGTCGCTACAGGGGGACCCACTTGTAAAATTATAATATTATTTTAAAAAAATTATAAAATATAAATAAATATAATTTAAAATTTGCGACCAAAATTGGTCGCTAATTAAGGGGTAAGCAGATAGCGACCAACTTTGGTCGCTAAAATGGGACCCATTTATAAAATTTTAATAATTATATTTTTATTTAAAAAATTTATAAAATATAAAAAAAATATAATTCAAATTTAGCGACCAAAGTTGGTCGCTTACAAAAATAGAGACCAATTTTGGCCTCTAATCTGGGACCCAGTTCTAACGTTTAACAATTATATATTTATTTTAAATATTACATAAAAAATAAATAAATCTGATTTAAATTTAGCGACCAACTTTGGTCGCTAATTTAAATTTATGTATATTTAGCGACCAAAGTTGGTCTCTTTTCAGGCCAAAAATGGTCAAAATTAAAAATCACTTTTGTATTTACTATCTAAATAATATAAATGTAACCCGTTAACACTTTTGTAATACAAAGGATGAATAGACTAAAATATACTCTAACATGCTATATATGCAGTTAAGCAGTACTACGAAGCGTGCGTGTGTGTCTATA